GCAAAGAGCACACAGTGGGAAGATTTGTCTGTTTTGTTCTCCCTGCTCAGTCAGCTCTAGAGCAATGTCTCGCACTTGGTAGGTAGTCAACAAATATTTTAAAACCAATAGATGAATAACAGGCAACATTTTTGAGCGCTTATTAGTCTCAGGAACTCTTCTAAACCTTCCACAATTTTATTTGATGCACTATAAAAAACTAATATTAAAGAAAAGATATTTTTAGATTGCAAGTGCCTTAAGGACAAACAACGTGCTTATATTCATCCTGGGCTCGAAAACTCAGAAAGTATTAGCTGAAAGATTGACTGAAGGAAAGAATGCTGGAATCAGAATTAATTTGCAAGACTGCCTTCCATTATAATATGATGGACAAAGCTAGCTGACAGCGTAAGAGCCCTAGACCACTGATTTTATCTGTGGGAGGGGAGTGAGTGTAATAGCTTCCGGCTTCAGCAATGTGTGCCCATGGCCTACCCTTTCTCTTCTGGCCTTGACTTCCCACAGAGATACCTGCTTCAGTGCTAGTGCCAGGATGCCGCACAGCAAAGATCAGGTCCCCTAGGGGAGACCAACTCTAATAAAAAACCAGAGATGGTAAGGGCTGGCCCCTCTCCCCCAACCCCAGTTGCTGATCTCCAAAGCTAGCCCAGGAGCCTGGGTCTTGACTGCTCTCAGGAATCAAGAATGAAAAAACCAACTGCTTGGCCACACAAGCAGCTCTTTTGTATCCCCTGGAGAGAATCTTGATGAATATGTATGGAATTTTCTCCCCCTGGAATGTAAGGGGAAGGGTGTGTCATTGGTCAGAGGAGGTCAGAATTCATCATGGGCTAATGGATCTTTGTGCCTAATAGGAAATGCCCAAGGGATGAGTTAGGAGGTGGGGTTGTTCCTTTGGCTGTGGTGTGAGACTTCTGGATGGAGAGCACTGCTTCAGGAGTCCTGACTACAAGACCTAGATGGACTCTGGGGAATTTGTGACCCTGCTGGAGAAAGCCCGCTGCGGGACAACCAACTCAGCTGCTTCCCAGCCCGCTTTGAGCTTTCTCTACAGAAGGGTGGAGAGACTCCTATTTCTCTCCAGACCTGTCTGAACTAGTGTGGCTTTTCTCCTGCCATCAGAATCCTCAGGATTCTGAAGAACATGGGAGGCTGGGTGCGGGTCCAGGGTGTGTGACCTTCCCAAGGAGCTTTGCGCTTCTCCCCACCTCCTGTCCCCAGTCGCAGGCAGATGCAGGGGTTTGGGCTCATGGTCACTAAACAGAGGTCTGTGGCCAACAATTATCCTGTGGGCCATCAGGTAATGAAGAAATCTGGGATAGAAATAGGTCTCATATACCTCACCCCTGGTAATCTCATGGTCAGGAACTGAAAACCCTAAAATGGAACCTTTCCAGGCAAACTCCAGATGGTAGAATTTTCTGGTAGGATAAGCAGGACTTACCCTGTACCTAGTCTTTTTTTTTTTTTTTTAAAGATTTTTTTAAATTTATTTGACAGACGGATCACAAGTAGGCAGAGAGGCAGGCAGAGAGAGACAGGAGGAGGAGACAGGCTCCCTGCTTTGCAGAGAGCCCGATGCGGGACTCAATCCCAGGACCCTGAGATCAGGGCCTGAGCCGAAGGCAGAGGCTTTAACCACTGAGCCACCCAGGCGCCCTGTACCTAGTCTTTAAAGTCCAACCTTCCTTTTCCAGACCCTGAGATCCACCCATCCCCCAACAAGCACAGTGGAATCATCTGCCCAGTCACTAACTAGTTGTGCGCTCCCTACATCCCCCTCTGCTCAGCCCAAACCTATTTCTAGCAGAGAACCAGACCCTTCACCAGACCCTGCTCTCTAATTTGCAGGGCAGGAATGATGCAGTCAGTGGCTTTGAACTCACTGACGAGATTTCACTAGATGTTTACGATGAGAGAAAATAGGAAAGACACCTTTCGAAAAGAAAGAAGAGGTTCCGTGTTCTCTGCCTCCCTCCCCCCAACTTATCCCCCACACACACACACAACTTCCACACTAGGAGGAAGCTAGACGGTGAAAACCACCCCGCTCCTCCCACCCAGGCAGCACCCTAGGGGCAAAACCTCAGAAGAAGACGAGTCCTGGTGATCATGGGTGGGTGGGGCCCAGCGCTGGGCTTCCAGACTTGGCCAGGGGCCCAGCAACACCCCACCACTTCCAGGTGATCACGAATGTCCAGACAGAGACGGCATCCGTGGGGACCCCAATGAACTGATGTTCATGTTCAGGGCCCACAGAAGCCTTCCAGGTTCTGCTAGTCGGTAATACAATAATTGAGACTAACTTACCGTCAGCCCTGTGGAATAGATTTGGACTTGAATTTTAATTTGATTTAAATAAATCAAAGGTGATATTTCTAGCACACCTCTTTTGTGGGTTGAGATTCACACTCGTTATGTAAGGAAAGAGATGCTTGATTTTTTTTTCCCCCTCTACCTCAGGTGCCATGATTCTAAGGACCCCACAGATTGGCTGTGGGTTAAATCAGGGGCCAGAGCAACTGACTGAGTGGGGATGGGGCAACAGAGCCCCACCTAGATTTCGGAGAGCCTTTTGGAGTGAGCTTTGAGCCTCTGCTTTACCCAAACCCCTGCTGCCTGTGCTGGGAACTGGAATTCTTAACCCCAGACAGGAGAGTCCGGCCCTCTTGGTGTGCTCCCTGGAGGAGCCAGGCTGGGCACTCTGGGTCTTCAGAGTAACCAACCAAGGGGGAGCACCAATGAGGGTCTTGCTCTCCCTTCACTGTCACAGTCCCAGTAAATCAACAGCTCTTGGTTGCTCTAATTTTTTGTCTTAACTTGTGCTGTTATTTCAACACCAGAGCCCAACAGGAAGAGGAGAGACCTGCGGCTCCTCTTCTTAGTCTTCAAAGGTCAGATCTGACAACAGCAAGAGCGGCCATTTTGGCAAGAAGTCGGAGGACCTGAGGTTGGCAGTCTAACCGGGAGGAACAGAGAGGGACTGGCCGTGCTTCCAGGGCCCCAAATGCTCTAAGTTTCAGGCTCCAGAGAGCCTGGGTGGGCCCCTGAGAGGGGGCTCTAGGGATTCCCTGCTCCTGTGAGTGGTCCTCCAGGCTGCCGCCCCAGGGGCTGACTTCATCCCTCCTGGACTATCTGGGCCTGTGAGTGGGATGTGTCCCCTCCCCGCCCCCAGCTGCCCCCATCCCCGATTTGCCTAGATTCTTGAAAGAGCTCTGCCGAGATCTGGTACACAACTTTGGCCTTCTTACTGTTTACTTTCACAGTACCGTGTGAAGTAGAGAGGAAAGTAAAGATTAATTAAGCCCTTTCATCCAGAACTGAAAGGAGATTTAGAATTTCACCTGCAAGAAATGGTCCAGGGGTGGAGGTGAAAGGCCTACACAGCATAATTCACCTCTGGGGAACTCTCCCTCCCCTCCTGGTCCTCCCACAGCATGTTAGCACTCACACCCTTCACCTAGAATATCTGTGTGTATGTCTGTGAGTCTGTTTAGGTAAATTTGCTTATGAACGTTTGTTGTATGTAACTGTGTGTCGGGTACTAGGCTGGGCACTTCATATACACCATCTCATTTAATTTCCCCCAAATCCTATGAGATAGGCACTATTATTACACCCATTTTAGAGATGGGATAAACTGAGGCTCAAAATAGCTTTTGTCATGAGCGGTGTTCGAATAGAGCTGGAATCTGGAATCTGATCCTGAAGGTTCTCTCTCTCTCCAGAAACGTACATACATGTACCTAAAAAAATTTCCTATGTACGTGTCTTGCCACCTGATATTTGGGGGAACAGACTGTATTGCCTATTTTTGTAAATGTCAGAACGTGATAGATAACATGCTATAGATTTTTAAAAGCACAACCAAGTTGTACTACGTGATGTTAACAAACTTGTGGTAATATTTTGCAATATACACAGATCTCAAATTATTGCAATGTACACCTTAAACGAATACCGTGTTACACATCAATTATATCTCAATAAACTGAGGCCCAGACCGTTGATGATTTGTTTGGGGTCTCACAGCAAGTTAATAAAAAAAGTACTAGGTCTGGAATTACTGCCTTGAGAACCCAACTTGCATAGGGCTGGGGAACTGAGGCGGTGGGTGTGGGGGCCTGGGTGGCTCAGTTGGTTAAGCGTCTGCCTTTGGCTGGTGTCATGATCCCAGGGGCCTGAGATAGAGCCCCACATCAGGCTCCCCGCTCAGCAGGGGGTCTGCTTCTTTCGCTGCCTCTCTCTTGCTCACTCTTTTGCTCAAATAAATAAAAATCTTGTGGGGGAGCTATGGAATTGGGAACTAGCAATGGCTCAGGCTATGCAATGAATGAATTATTGAAAGAGCAAGAATGAACTTACACACCAAGGGTGAGTAACTTGTGAATGAGCTGGTTTAAGACCACCACCCCCAGATCTGGCAACAAAAGATGTCCGCTGAGCTTCTACGTGGTGTAAGTTTAACTTCCTGTTTCTATCCCCAGTCAATTGCTGGACGGATTCTACTGACCTTCTGCCACAAATGCCTCCCCTCCTGACCCCTTTTTTCTTATTGAGGGAATTCTAGGGTGGTATTTATTACCTCTTCAAAAGGAATCAAAGGAAAACAAACCACAATCTCAAAAGGCCGCTGGGTTTTTTCTTAATCCCTCCCTCCCCTACCCACTGCCTCTGCCACACACAATCATTCCAAGTACTACTCAGAGAAGGTATCCTCTGACTCAGATTGCTTTCTTCCCCGGGGCCTTCCAGGAGCAAGCCCAAGGGGGAGTGAGTATAAAACTGCAGTCAAAGCCAAAGCTTGGGATCCGTGGGAATTTCTTCCATAGTCATGGGAATGGATTGTCCTCTTGGGAGCTCACAGGATATGGGCCCCTTGGTTTGGGGAGGGGAGGCAGTGTGGGGGAGGAGAGAGCAGAGGCCGAACCCAGGTGCCCCCTCCCCATCCTTCCCACGGCACCTGTGTGCGGTGCTGTAGGAGCCTTGCTACTCACATCCGCCTCGTTCCAGAGCCCCGGGATGCAGAAGGATTCCAGCAGGTCACTGCCACACAGCAGCAAGATCCGCAGCTCTGGGGAGGGGGACAGAGTTGGCACAGGGGTGAGTGGAGACCTGGAAAACATTCAACTCTCAGCCTCGCCCCTGATAAATACAGAAGCCACCCAATTCCCTGGGCCTCCGGCACCCAGCTCCGCCAGGCTCCCCTGCACCGTGGTGTGCGCAGTGTAGACAACTTTGCCTTGCTGGGTCATCTACAGTCCACTCTTATCCCCCTGTGGGAGGACTTTCTCATGCAGGACAGGGCGGGTCTTGGTTTGCCTGGTACTGAGGGTTTCCTGGGACAGAGGTCATTCCCTGCTAAGCTGGGAGGGCTGCTTGTCCCAAGAGAGATGGAGCCGGCCATGTGGCTTGTCTAAGGTCTTGCAGGGCTCTCTCTCCTGCTCCATATCAAGGTCAAGTGCTAACAGAGCTCGGCTCCTCTGCAGCCGTGCATTATCCAGGCTTTGTTCTTTATCACAAATGCGGACATGATGAAGGGTCTGGGGGGACACAGAGTGTCCCCATGCAGTCGCTGAGTTCATTGGATGTCCTTTCTTTACCAGGCCATCGTCCTCAGCAAGGAGCCTGAGAAGCGGAGTTGAGCTCACCCCGCCCCCCTCCCAGGTGCATGTCCTGCTTGTCCTTTGTTTTCTTTCCCTCCCAAAGCCCATTCTGCATCATCCCAGAGAAGCCCCTTCAAAAAGGACTGACCGACTTACTAAACCGGAGCAGTGGGGGGAAAAAAGGATCCTGGGATTCTCCAAACCACAGGGGGAGGGACACCAGCCAGGTGTGGAACGTCTGGTTCCCAGGTATCCTGGGCCCTCCAGTGAGAGGCTGTGGCTGTGGGCATCTTTTCCAAAATGGGAGGGATGGCCCTGCCCCGAGACCACTTCCCAAGACCACTGCCACCCTGCACCGAGGCTGAGAGGAGGCCGTTAGGTAGGCCTGCCTGAGACGCCACAGTTCGCTTGGGGAACCTGACCAGGATTCAGACGGTGACCTTGTCCCTGCTGTGGAACTCTCCAGATGGTTCAGAAAAGGAAGGCAACTGGGCTGACGATAGTGTCAGTATCTGTCCCACCCATAGCCCATCCTCAGGGAGCCCCGTGGAGCCCTGGGTCCTTTGCTCCTAAATATTCCTGCAGCATCTCCTCTCCCCCATGCCATTCTGTAGCCCAAAGATGTGCTCAGGGGCAGGGACCTTAATTTATCTTTCTAGCCCCTGGGTCTGGCAGAATGACCTGCATACAGTAGGTGCTCGGGACCTACTGAGTACGTGAACAACAGACAAGGTGCCTGCAGAGGCCATGCAGGCAAGTAGTCTAAGAGCCTTCTAGGCCATCTGAGATGGCTCTGCTGGGGCCATCATGGCCTTTGTGTTTGCAGTCTGGGGGTCCTGGGGGAAGTGGTGTCTCCCTCCTTCCAAGTCATGACATGGGACTTCTGGCCCAACTCCCCATGTGCGGTAAGGAACCAATCTCCCTATGGCTGAGAGGAGCCACACTGGGCTCCCTCCTGGGATCCTACGGCTCCCCACCTCCCACCTGGAACCACCCAGGGTTCCAAGTGTCCTCGTTCTGTGGAAAGAGATTGCCTGTAACTCTGTACTGTAACTCAGATTGCCTAAAATTTCGGTCAGGTGCCACCGTCCAGAGGCTGTGCTGGCCCTTGGATTTCTGTGTGTCGGCAGACCCAGAGGGCAGCTACGGCTCCTGAATTTGACAGTGCCTGGAGACATCTCTGGGTGCTAAGACCAGGGAGAGGGCACATGTTCCTGGCATCTGGTGCTCGGAGGACAGGAATGCTGGGGAACGTCCTACAAGACACATGGCGGCCCCCAAGACACAGAATTGTTTATTTCCAAATGTCAATAGCCCACAGTTGAGAAAGCCTGCTCGATAGCCATGAAAATAACTCTTTTCTATTCCTGAGTCAGGAACTCCCTTTCCCACTTGAATACAGTGGGTTTTTTGTTTTTTTTTTTTAAGCCAAAGCACAGAAAGTTAAAAAGTGGGGTGTCCACCTTTTCTTACAGGACCAGAACTGAGACATTTGTCACAGCCCAGAGGCCCTAGCAGAGCCTGGGATCCCATGCATGGCCGCTGGAGGGCAGCAGCAATCTCTCCTGGTTTGTTGCAGGCGACTAAGGCAAGCATTTTCCAGAGCCTTCGCTCTATGGCAGCCCCCTAGAGCAGTCAGTGGTTTAAGAACAGGGAAGTGGAGCCATAGGCGCTAGCTGAGCTAGAAGACGGCTTTTTCTTTCCTGCAAGGTGCAAGGGGATTTCAAAAAGGGGACTCATGAGCCAGAGGGCCTCCTAGCACACAGTCGGGAAGCAAGGCAGCTTCCTTTCACCTCCTCTGCGCTCTACCTCCTACCCCGGTTCACCACCTTCCAAGGATCCAGGGCCAGGAGGTAGAATCCGCACTGTCCCACCACACTCCCCTCCCAGGAAGCCTGACTTTGTGAAGTCCAGGACCTGGATCCAGGACCTCCGGGGCCATTTCCAGTTCCCACTGCCCTCTGAGGCCACGCCACCTGGACCACACCAGGCCCTGAATCGATCATGATAGCTGTGGCCGCCCAGCTTTCCCTTCTTGGAAAGAAGAGTAAGATGGGGTCAGGCTAGCCCTGCCCCTCACCAGGTGGTGGTGAGATAAGGAACTTGAGGGTGAGATAAGGAACTTGCTGCAAATTGTGCAAACACTCATTAGCTCGGCCTCTCTGTGGGCGGGGAGCTCCCGCAGGTATGGCCTCACACACTGGCCCAGTGAGCCAGGAAGGTAAACAAGGTCACTGCTGACGCTTGCCACAGTAAATGCTTTCTGGAACAAGGAACTAGAGAAACACACATTGAATACAGTTGCAAGTCTAAAGACTGCTCAGAGCGGGGCTGCTCCGGAGGACCTCCCAGGGAATGCAATTCCTGGCCAGGTGCGGAACTGCAGGAAGTGGGATTCAAGGCTTGCTTCTCCTCCGAGCCCTTGGGGTGCTTGGGAGCTGGGGAACCTGGACCCAAATACTTCTGCCCTGTTTTGGGGGAGCAACCAGGAAGCCACGCTGCTGCTTTTTGTGGCTTCAAGACGGTGAAGGGCGGGGAAATAAAGGACATTAAAATACAGGAAAGTAACTCAGAAGCGAGTTTTGAGTACTCAGGATCTTTGTTGTTAATACAGTGTATTTAATTGTTGTTTAAAATGACTTAATTTTGAGTATCGGCTACATTTGACAACCAGTTTGCTTACTTCCTGAAAATCTTAGAAAGGGTTCTGACAAACCAGTAGGAGTCAACTGCTCCTCAGATCAGAGGCCAGGACCCAGGGAGGCTCCTTGAATCGATATCACATGTGCTGGGCCTCCTGGCAGAGGCCCTGGGGCTCCCGGCATAGTCCTATGCTCCCAGGACCACAGCACCCACACCCAGCCCTGGGGATGGCACCTTTGCAGCTGGGACGGCAGACTGGGCGTGTCCACCGGACACCAGGCTGCCCCTCACGCTAGCGTTCCAAGCATGCCAGTTGTCACTGAGCCTCCTTGTCACCTGGTACCGCGCCGACTCCAGCTCCATCCCGACAGCCATCTATCCCTTCCTCAGCTTCAGTGTCTCTCACCCACTCTGGAACCTCAGTTTTCTGGTTTGCTCCCCAGGGTTCCGTAGGACTGAGCTCATTTCCAAGGGTGGGTCAGCTCCTACCCCTCCAACGACTGGTGGGTGGAGCCACCGTCCATCCACCTCCTACCACAGACCCGGGATGCCTTAGCCTCCGCCCACCGCTGCCGGCTGCAGGGAGGTTGTGGAGGTGGCTTTCAGCTTCCTCTCCTCCTTGCCCTCCAGCCCAGAAATAAGGAAGAAGATAAGGAAGATGGGGAAGCTTCTCGGCCTCACACAGTGTCTTGGGCCAAAGAAAGGTCCTGGGCTGTGGCAGAAGCTTAACTTCCACGTGTCTGGGATGAGGGAGACGAGGCTCTAACGGGAGCACTGCCAAGCCGGCGGGTCCTACCTCCCGGGAACTGGCCAGGTGGAGATATCGCAGAATCTGCTCTAGTCTGGAGCCGGAGTTCTGGGAGCAGGCCCTGTTGCGAGCACAACCCGGGGTCTCCAAGCCTCTCCCCCCGCCCAATTCTGCCCCCAAGTGTCCCCGCTTTTCCAGCCACTTACCGATCTCTTCGTACCGCATCACCGTGCCCAGATTGGCATTCTCATCTAGGGAGGAGAGAGGGAACTGAGAAGCATGAGGGGACGGACTGACTGCCACCCGTGCACGCCGTCGGCCCAGGGGCCTCCTCAGGAGTGTGTGGGGTGGGGTGGAACGCACGGGATAGGCGGGTCATTGCCTCCCTGCACAGAGGGCATCTGAGTAGTGATGGAGAGCAATCCGGCCTACAATGCAGAGGACGCAGCCCTTGGTGCTGCACAGTGGGAATTCACATTTCTGGGCCTTTAAGAATCGCACATCTTCGCCAGGAAGCCGATGACAAACACACACACACACACACACACATGCTCCTGCTAAGCACCTTCTGTTTCTGTCTGTATTTGTGGGAGGTAGTCCACAAAAGCAACGTCCTCTAAACAGAGAGAAACGGCTCTCAGCATCACCAGGAGGCAGCCCCGTCGCCCCAGGCACGGGCTGCCTGGTTCAGAGAACTAGCATCGCTGAGCTCGTTGAGATGGCAGGTACAGCAAGAGCCCGTGAAAGACGAGAGAGACAGAGGCTGGGACCTGTGCTCTCTCTCGAGTGCTCTTCAGCAGTGCTGGCACGGGGGTTCACGGTGTGCACAAAACCACAGACCTGCCACCTTGGTCCCCTGTCTCCTTTCCTCCTCCGCTACCCCTCTTAGTTCCTTTTGGAAAACTGGAAATCTCAGAAGTGGCAGAAGTCAGCGCCAAAGCATCAAAGGAATGAGGTCTAGACCTTCAGCAATTCTGCAGATTTGAACTGGGATGCAGCAACTCGGACATTCTCATCCCTGGAGTCCTTGAGGGAACAGCCAGCAACAGGGAATTAAGGAAAGAGCATGGGTGTTGGTAGCCTATCAGAGGGGTGCATACACTGCCAGAGCTGGGAGGACCCGAGGAAGGATTCTGGGCCCCTGAAAACTCTTAGGCATGTGACCTCATTCTGCGTGTGGGGGCGGGGTGGGAGGGGTGGGGGTGGGGAATCAGCACAGCAACAGGGTCTAGGCAGCCACAGGCTAGGTGGGGCACACCCTCGGGACTCTTGCCGTGCAAGCCCGGGGACTTTCCTGTTTACTTCATTTTCTCTCCACTGTTGCTCTTTCAACTGTCATCCCACAGCAGGTGCTGGGAGGTGTTTGCAGAATGAATGAAGGGAGGGGACAAAGAAGAGACGGGACCAGCAAAGAAGGTCTTTGCTCCCTTACCCACAAAGGTGAAGCGCTCCACTGGTGGGCGGACACAGCAGATCCGGCTTAGACTTTCTCCCACCTTCCCCAAGATCTTGGCTATAAGAGAGAGCAAGACAGACAGGGACAGAGGGAGAGAACCGCTCACCACTTACAGCCGGGCGTGTGCGCCACTTAAACAATAAGGTTGCCCTGGAGGGGGCAGGGGTTGGGTAGTGGGAGGCAGGAGGGTAGAGAGAAAGAACAGAAATGTGACCGCAAACATTCCTTCCCGTTCACAGTCCAAGGCGCAAGCATTGTGAGCCACAGACTGGAATCTGTTTTCTGCTTGTGTTTATTATACTGTCAAAAACCGGAAAATGTAGAAGAGGAAAATATATAAAAAGGAAAATAAAAAGCACCCGTAATCCCGTCCCAGGAGACAGCCACCACTAACACATGGGTATACTATTTCTTTTCCTCTAGTAACACATGGCTATACTATTTCTTTTCCTCCACTTAAAAAAATATGCATTACGCAGGTATGTTTGCACACCAGAAGTTGGGTCATATTATGTGTTTAAATGACATATGGGCTATTTGCTCCTTTCATTTTTTAAATATGAACCTTACCCTTCATTCCTTCCCATGAAGATGGATTTTATCATAATCAGACATCCTACTTTGGCTGAGAGGGATCTGGTTTTTGATGTCCTCTCCGGGCTCTAATCCAGAAAATCTTTCTGAGCCGCCACATGTAGCTGTATGAGAGCTATGAAATTCTGGCTCCTTGTGAACTCTCCTGTTTCGAACAGACTAGTAATCTAATAGTTTATGGTCTCTAGGCTTGAAGAGTATGAACAGGATCCACCTCTTGCAATGGGCTGGTAAAAAATGTTGGAAAAAACATGGACCTTGGAATCGAATAGTCCTGAACATGACCTCTGACTCTTCCACTTTTGAGCTGTGTGACCTTAGGCTAACCACTTACCCTCTCTGAATTTCAGTTTTCTCCTTGTAAATGGGAACATAATATCTATATCACAGAATTACAGCATAAAATGTGAATCCATGTAAAGCACTGTACATTGTATGGGCATACAGGACTCGGTGTTGGGTAAATGTTGGAGCCCTTGCTTTCTGCCACTGAAGAGGTGGCTGAGAGTTTGGGATTTCGAATGCTGATGCCTGGGTTTGACTCCTAGTCCTGCTACCTCCTCACTGTGTGACCTTGGGCAAGATAGTCAACTACCTTGGAAGAGGCAGGGAAAATGCTGCCTTCCATATTTTTAATTCCCAGGAAGGCAATTATAAATAGAATTTGTAAATATGATTTATAATTATAAATATAAAAAAATGCACACCATCAACCCTGTCTCTCTCTCATTGTGACTGCTTCTCTCTGATGCTCTATTTTAAGGACTAGAGCATCAGTGTCACCTTGTTAAAAGGGCACATTTTCCTCCCCCTCCCAGACCTACTAAGTCACATTCGGGGGGAGGGCCCAGCAGTCTGGATTCTAACCACCCTCCAGGTGATTCTGAGGTCTGAGAGCCACAGCTCCCACCAGGGTCCCCCTACCTGCAGTGGGTTTGCTGGACACGTTGCTGTTCTGGTAAATGGGCTGGGGCGTCTCATTTTGGGGCTGTCCGATCACTGGCGTCATGGAAGGTGTGTTAACGTTGGAGAGGATACAGCCAGTCACCCGCTGGGGGAAGGGAGAAGTGCAAGGTCAGTGGCATTAGCCAAGTAGCTTATGAAGAGCATTCCTAGTTATCTTCAATCGCTCATCTGCTCATCCAACCCCGGGGAGGCCACTGGGAGCTGAGCCGGTGGCGGGGGCGAGTTCTAGACCCAGCTGTGTGGCGTGGCTGCGTGAGGCCAGCAGGAGGCCAGACCGCTAGCTCAGTGCTGGGAAGGCATGGCATGCGGTGTTGCCCTGGTTCAAGTCCGAGCTCTGCCCCACTCCGGCTGCGTGACCTTGGATAGTTAGTCTCTTGAACCTCAGCTCAGGAGATTAACACGGACAGGCCCGGTGGCTGCCTTTCTGGGTTGTGGTCTGGCACCTGGCCACCGATGTTGTAACCTTCTCTGTGACGTGCATTCCTGCCTCCCTGCCCGCCTCACGGGCCTCACACGAGGTCATGCCTGCAGAAGGGCTGTGCACGCTTTGGAAAGGTCATACGAACACCAGGCACTATCACCACCTGTCGCCTCTCCAGGCCAGGGACGCCAATGACAAGGCCAAAGCTGAGAGTGGGGCCAGGTGGGCGGGATGTGTTTGTGTGGCAGGAAGAGGCGGGGTGCTGGGCACTCTTTTGCCTACTTGTCAGTGTGGATGCACATTCCAGAGCCAAACGGATATTCTATGTGTATATTCTATTGTGCTGGATTATCTGGCCTGCTGCTTCCCTCGGGGCCGCAGAACTCATGGAGCTGATAAGTCCTGCCCAGCTGACCCAGACACCCACCCCCTTCCCTGCTGTGGGTGCGAGAGCTCCCTACTGGGCAACAGAGAAACAAAGAATGGGTTTTTCTATCCGTTCAGCTTTCCAAGGGCCGGTGCTTCTGCAGTTCCCTTTCCAGATAGTATCTCACCCCCATGCACCCCTCTTTCTGGATTCCTGAGTCCCGCTGCCAGAGAACCCCAAGCTGTGGGGCTGCTGTGGCCCTCGTGACCCCCAAAAGGTCCGTCTTTCATAACAGAAGACAGAGAGTGGCGTTGATGCCTTCTGAGCCCCAGAAGACAGGCGTTTGTTCTGCGGGGTGACCTGTCCCCTCTGTCATGTTCTTGACACGGGGCGGTCCCAGCAGCATCCAGCCCCATCTGGGAGCCCGCCCAGGCCAGCCCAACAGGCTCTTCCCCGCCTGCTTGTGGCTGCTGGAGGGGAAGGGCCGGCCTGCCTCCTTTTTCCTTATTTCACCTCCAGAAAAGGAAGTGCCACATTTTCGTTAAGTAACTGGTCTGGTAGCTGAGAAAATGCTTCCTCCCGCTGCCTGCATGGCGGGTCCCAGGGGACTTGTTCTAGGTAGAGAAGCAAAGGGCTGGCCATGTGCCCCACTCTGCCCTCGTCACCCCTCTGCGGGCTCTCATGTTTGCAGAGACCCTTCCCAGCATGGGCTCGGGTCACCTCTAAGTAAGCCCTACGTCAGTCTCTCCAACAGGTCTGCCGTCCACGCCGGGGACACCGGCCTGATGGTAGAACAGGAGAGACGGGGTGTCCCCCACCGCCATTCTAGGCAGGGGTCCTGGGGACTCACTTTCTCTACGGGCCTGTGCCTGTCACTGGAAGGGCTGAGCTCCTGGCTGTGCCGCTCTGGCCCAGACTCCCGCCTCCGGGCATGAGTAACGGAAGGAGGGTTCGGGAAGCCCAGGCATTTGGAAGCAAAACAGTGGGCAGACTTCATGGCTGGTACAGGCAGGGCTCCAGCATGCCTGCAGGGTCCCGGATTCCTCCTTTCCACCACAGAGCCCGAGGCTCCCGTGTGATCAGAAGGCACACAGGCCCCCGCTGACCCCTAGCTGATGTGTAGTGTGAGGCATAAACTGACGTGAAGGCCCCAAGATTTTAAGGATGTTTGTTAACACAGCATATCTTAGCCTCTCCTGACTGATACAGTAGGACAGGATGGGATGCCTGTTATTACTGCGGTAGTTGAGACCAGCACGGGGAGCTGGTGAGTGCCCCCCAATGGCAGAGTCCCTTCAAGGGGATCAGAAAAGACTCCGGATGCCTGTAAAGGATTCCGAAGAGGGAAGGAAGGGAGGTGCGCTGTGTCAGTTCCAAGGGGGACAAACCTAGTAGATGAGGCAACAGCTCGCTAGAGCCCGCCCTCTTCCTCTTCCTCTTCTTCTTGACTTCCTGGAGGGTCAGGAGCCCAGAGCCCCACCTCTATTAAAGGTAAGCACAGCTGGCCCAGTTGGTGGAGTGTGATGCCGACGGCTCCCCAAGGAGCGGCTTCTGACACCCACTGACGCAAAACACAGATGGGCGGACGCGCTCCCTGTGTCGGAACAGTGCGTCCAGACTGCCGTTTGCGGCTGACAAGGGCACCGTGACAGGGTCGGGGCACTGACTCTTGTCTTGGGCAGTCAGGCTTCTTGCTACGGATGGCTCTGCTCTTCCTGCCATCACTGCAGAGACCGATGGGCTGCTGTCGGTCTGGGAAGGGTGCTTTCCTCGAACTCTGGCCAGCAGGGCTGGCTGGCATGGCTCTTGTTATAACCCGGTCACCAGCTCTTCAGTGGCTGCAACCTGGTCACAAGCCACAGGCTCCCATCCAGGGGAGACACAAAACAATGGCTGTGTGTCCTCAGGTAGATTGGCTTACCTCTCTGGGCTTCCTTTTTTTTTTTTTTTAAGATTTTATTTATTTGACAGAGATCACAAGTAGGCAGAGAGAGAGGGGTGGGGAGGCAGGCTTCTTGCTAAGCAGAGAGCCCAATATGGGGCTCGATCCCAGGACCCTGGGATCATGACCTAAGCCAACGGCAGAGGCTTTAACCCACTGAGCCACCCAGGTACCCCTCTGGGCTTCCTTTTGTCCACTCATATAAAAAGGACCAGAACATTGCCTGCCTCATGAGAGGACCAATGAGAGCGAACAAAGGGACAGCGTCTGGCAGGGGTGAGGGGGTCTCGGCCACAGCACCCAGTGCTGGAGTGAGGGGACTGGCAAATCCAATATAGATGGGGATGGAGCCCCCGGATGCTTGTCCCCCCACTCTCCCCCCATGCTCCTCTGTGCTCCCGCCTTCCCGGGCCAGGTCTCCTTCCCTCCCCACTTTCTGAAGTCTGTCCTCACTCCCACCCTGGATTTGCTGTCAGAAGTTGAAAACCAGCCCCAGTCAGATTGAGCAGGGGGGCAAGGTGGGGGGCAGCCTCTGGTCCGACTCCTTAACTGGCTGCTCTCCTTCCTGCTGCTCAGGGCCTGGTCTCCCATCGCTGGCCGAGAAGCCGGAAACAGAACCAGGTCTGTAGGCCAGCAGCACTCTTACCGGGCCTGCCTGGTTTTGGGGGCCACCCAACCCCCTGCCGCGGCCCAGCTCACCTTCATGAGGTCCCGATGGTGCTCCAGCACGCTGCACGTGGTCTGCCAGGTGTCCTGATAGCACTCCCACGGGTCCACCCTAACAGAACCAGAAAGATTCTTCCCACGGTTTCCATTCTCACACTCATTCCTCACTGGTTGTTCCCAGAACGTGTAGCTCAGGGAGCTCAGCAGACTGGCCCCTGCCGCATACTTAGATCCCAAATCAGATCAAACGTGGGATTGAAACGCCTTCCTACACCTCAGTTTCCTCCTCTGTAAACGGGGGGAGTACGGGGCTTTGGGAAAGTGATGTTTTCTTCCGGTGCTCACTTTTCCCACCTGTAAAAGTGACGATGTGACTCTCTTGTGGGGTTATTAGAAGGGCTTGGTGAGTTTTATAAACAAAGTGGTTAGTACAGAGCCTCACTCTGATGCTTCCCCACACGGTGGAAATTTTCCTCTGGGCCCTCAAGGATTGGGGTAAGGATTCAAAGCCAGGCCCTCATCAAGTGGTGGCTGCAGATACGTGAATTGGGGGATCTGCCCCTGTCTGCCTCCCTGTGCTGCGGGGGGGCCTTGTGGGCATGGAGGGGGCATGCCAGTCAGACTGGAGGGCACAGCCCCGCCCGCTGGCCAGCCCCTCCTGTGCAGCGGGATGTGAACCGAGCAGGGAGCTGGCCCAGACCAATGCCAGCTCAGGCTTAATTGGCAACTTAATGAGCTGCTAAACTGGGAGATTTCTCAAACATTTTCTTAGCAGTTGAGCATTCCCTGCCCACCTCCCACCAGGCACACACACCGAAGCTTCCCAGAGGTAAGGGTTCCCCGACTGAAAACCTTGAGAGTTGGTTTGTGCGGCAGGCCCTCCCGCCACCTCTGACCACCACCCACCTGCCTGCAACAGGCTCCCCCAGGACCGGAGCGCCCCCCCCCCCCACCTCTAGAGCTACCAGAGCTTCCCTAGTGACCTCAATTCTTGGAATTCTGACCTTGCCCAAGTGCTTGGAGCAGTGCAGAGCCAGCAGGAGGTGCTGGGGAAATATTTGTTGAATGAATGAAGCAATTCTTTCAGAATCTTCCAGTCACATCCAAGCAGGAACAACCTCCTGCCCTGTGTCTTCCCCCAATGGTCCCCATTTTCCCCAGGAGATCCTAAGCCACAGTGTTACAAGGCCTTGTTTCTATCCCTGACGTGACCGTGGACAGGCTGTTCACGCTCAAACCCCTTGATTTCTCTGGGCCCATTTCTCACCAGAGAAAAGGCAGCCATGTCTCCCTATATCTCAGGGGTTTGAGAAAGTCTCTAAGGGACAAGTGTTTCTCACACAAATCACTGCTCACGACCCGCAAAAATCACTATGTGATTACCGTGGTGGCTTCCCTTCACCGCTCTCCTTCCCACCCAACCCATCTCCTCTCCCTCATTGTGAGGTGAGTTTCCCTTACGTCCCTCCCTTCTAGAAACCTCTGGGTGCTGCTTATTTTTCCGTGGGGGGAAATTACAGTACAAATGGTGTGCCATTATTTTTTTAAAACGCCATTTTCTCATGCAAATTATAACTGTGGGAACTTGGGGGAGCGTAATTAGCATAATTAGTGGAAGCTTGCTTTAATTACACCGCCAGCGCTGCACATAGCGGTGTCTGCCATCTTAGGGAGGCGGGTGCCCAGAGTCTGAGGGACGGGCAGTGCCCTCTTGCTGGCAGCCCCTCGGTCCCACACTCAGCCGGGAGCCCCAGGAAGCCCGAGTTCAGGAATGGGAAATAAAGAAGCCCAGGGAATGGTTCCTAAAAGGAAGTTTGAGTTCACAGGAAGTAACTGGGGAGAAAAGTGGAGAGGCATTTTGGATTTCCTGGCCAGGCCTCACCCCAAATCCAATGATGTCCAGGAATACTCCTGGATCAAATGTCCCAGAGCAGAGAAACACTTCGGCTTCTCTCTTGGGTCTGCTGGGCCCTACAGCCTGGTTATAAAACAAAGGGGGGTCACCTCCGAAGGTTTGCGTAATGATAGCCTGCAGGGGACTAATGCCTCTTCTGACCTCCCCACCCCTGTGGGATCCAGATGGCTGAGGGGACCTCTTCTTTTCCTCCTCTCAGCCCCAGTGAATCCCAAGCCAACCCCCTCCCCAGGGGCAAGGGCCAGGCCAGCCCTACCTGATCCAGTCGGAGTTCTGCACGGCCAGCTGACACATGATGAGGCGGTGCCGGCTCGACACAAGGCCCTGGGGAGCAACAGAGCCATCAGTGGGAGGCTCCCCGAAGCCTCCGGGGACCCCACCCCAAGCGGGCTTCTCATTCAAGGGCAGCCGTTTCTCAGCCACGCCGGGAAGGAGGGTGTGCCCCCCCCCCCCATGTGCACCTGTCACGCTGACGCCCAGAGCGCAGAGGGGAAAGAAAGGGACGGAGGTGGGATGGGCCACTCACGACAGGGTCAGGAGGTGGGCCTCTCGGAGGAAGCAGCCAACCCTTGCCCAGCACAGAGACAAGACTTAACCCTGCAAACGGGGCTTCGTCTAGAGGATCGGGCTGCTGGGTGGGCGACTTCCTCGGAGGCAGGTGGGGACGGAGGATGCGGGGAGGGCTCCTAGCCCTTCCCTTTCGTGTGGCAGGGAGGGAGCCGCAAGGAAAGGAATTTTTAATCAGATCGTAGGAGGCATGGGCCTTTTCCTCCTAAAATCCGGGAAAGATCCGTAACCCGCCACCGGTGTGGCATCCGTGCCCTGCCCGGCTCGGCCGTCCGCGGGTGTGCGCGCTCCGGGGCTAATGAGCGCTGCGGGCGCAGCTCTTCCTCCCCGCTGCCGCCCGGCACCCACCTGCTCGGGGCTGACAGTGGTCCAGAGCCCAGAGCAGGACGCCCGCTACCCGGCATGTGTGTTTCCAGGAAGTGTAGCCGAGACGGCCTTGGGGCAGCTGTGTGCCCTAGAAGCCATCCATCGGGTCAGAAAGGGAGGGGTAAGGAGCAGAGAGGCAAAGGACCAACCCACCTGTTTTCCGTAGGAGTCGTGGACAGGAGAGACAATCCCACCAATCACAATAAACCTTCCAGTTTTGTGCAGATAATCCCTGGCTCTTTCTAATTAAGAGAAGAAAAACCACACGTTATAAAGATTCGGAAAGGTGTGGATTAAAGGTGACTGTTGAAATCAAAACGTTCCGCTCTGCAAGGTTTATGGCTTTACAGCTCTCTCGCCATTTACATGGAAAGTGCCAACTTTCCAAGTTACCTTGGTGATTCAAAAGGTTATGGGATGAGATTCTGGCCCCCAAAGCAAAAGGATTTAGAACCAAGGGGATTAATCCAGTTTAAAAGGTCCTCTGCAGCTTAGAGGGATTTAGAACAAGCACCTCACTAGAAGCCGTTTGAGGGACAGACTGGAATTTACGCCTATGATCACTTGCAGAAATTCTAAAATGGAGGAGTGACTTAAAAGGAAGAAGAGGAAGAAGGAGAAGCATCAGCCGCCACCTTCTTATAATATCAAAGATGGGCTGATTGCCTCATCTCAGAAGAGAACCGCCAAATCAAGTTTAAAGGCCTTCCACGGAATTGGGGAGAATTAACAGGAAAGCCATCATTATGGTTGATTGAGAGAAGTTCAGTCACAGAAAAGCCTTTTTTCCTTTGGAAGGAATTCGTGAGGCTGCTTTTTCAAACTTACCAGACAAGCCCGATTTCTTTTCCATGAGAAAATTCAGAAAACTAGGAAGGGGAGGAAAATTTTAGTTCTCATTTGAAGGGGGTTCAGTGTCAAACCCAGCAGGGCCTGAGCTTGCACCAGGGAGGAGATGTGGTATGGATTTATTTCGCAGGCGAGGGATTCTGTTCGTGAAGGGGGTCTTGGGGAGCAAGGCTGGCTGTGTAGTTTACAAGCAAGTTCCCAGGACTTCCTTGCTCCTCTCTTAAAACTTAAAAATAATTCTCATCACATTCGCCTTTTGTTTTCTTTCAATGCGAAATCTCTCCATTTCTTAAAAAAATTATTAACAGACTTTATTTTTGAGCACGGTTTTGGATTTAAAGAACAATGGAGCAGAGAGCTCACAGAGCTATATACATCCGGTCGGCACCTTCCCATCTCCCCCCTCCCCACACCGTTTTCCCTATTATTAATATCTTGCATTAGTGCGGTTCATTTGTTACACTTGATGAGTCCATACTGACACATTATTATGGATTAACTATAGGCCATAGTTCCCACGAAGAGACACTGTGTTGTACAGTCTGTGGGTTTCGACGAATGTATAATAACATAGAGGCACTGTTGCAGTTACGTTGCGAACAGTTTCCCTACACTCAGAATCCACTGTGATACCGCCGTTCATCCCTCTCCCTGGGTGCACAGCGGCCCGTAACCACGGATCTTTCTACCATTTCTCTGGTTTTGCCCTTTCCAAAACACCGAGTGAGTTGGGCTCATACACTAGGTAGCTTCTTCAGACTGGCTTCTTTCACTTAACGATATGCATTTAAGGTTCCTCCATGCAGTTTTGTGGCTTGATAACTCAATTTGTAAACTGCTGAATAATAATCCCTTGTCTGGATGTGTCACAATTTCTTTATCCCTTTGCACTGTTTATCCATCACCAACTGAAGGGCGTCTTGGTTGCTTCCAGTTTTCACTGATGATGAATCAAACTGATACAGCATTCACGTGCATGTTTTTGCGTGGACCTGGTTTGTGACTTGGTTGTGTAAACATCTAGGAGTGCAGTGGCTGGGTCAGACCGTGAGAGGACATTTGATTTTGGAAGAAACGGCCAAATTGGCTTCCAACGTGATGGTTCCATTTTGCATTCCCACAAGCAACAAAAATGAGTGTTCCTGCTGCTCCACATCCTTGCTAGCATGGGGAATTACCAGGTTTTTTGGATTTTAGCCGTTCTAATAAGGTGTGTCACCTCTGCTTTTTTATTTTTTAATTTATTTTTAAAGATTTTATTTATTTATCTGACAGAGAGAGAGGGAGAGAGGGAACACAGGGAGAGGGAGAGAGAGAAGCAGGCTCCCCGCTGAGCAGAGAGTCCAATGCAGGGCTCGATCCTAGGACCTTGGGATCATGACCTGAGCTGAAGGCAGACGCTTAACGACTGAGCCACCAAGGCGCCCCTAACCTCTGCTTTTTTAAAGCGTGATATTACTTTACTTGTTTTCAAGAAGTCTTATTTTGAGGCCAAGGACAAATTGAAAACCTTGTTAAAACAAAACAAAGCAAAACAGGGGCACCTGGGTGGCTTAGTAGGTGGGGCCTCTGCCTTCGGCTCGGGTCGTGATCTTGGGGTCCTGGGATCGAGTTCCGAGTTGGGCTTTCTGCTCGGCAGGGAGCCTGCTTCCCCCTCTCTCTGCCTGCCTCTCTGCCTGCTTGTGATCTCTCTCTCTGTGTCGAATAAATAAATAAAATCTTTAAAACAAAACGAAACAAAAACCCTTTTATTGGGATAAGCTCCATACCACCCCTCTCTTCTCTTGGCCCTTCACACGCCAGTCTTCATTGAGATCATTTACATCTGGCCCTTAGCTGTCACCGAGTCCCTGCTGTAATAAGTCAGAGCTTCCTTCCTCCCCCATCCTCCAAAAAAGTGGCCTCTCCTTACTCTGCACACCCAAGCTTTTCACTGGAAGCTCCACTCTACCTCACCTCTACCTCGGTCCAGCCTTCCTGCTCTGTCCAGCAACCTCCTTGACTGCACTTACAGCTCTGCTAGGCCCCTGTGCATCAAGTTCAAGGGGCCTGGCCGGGAAATTGTTTCTGAAAGTGTATGCCTTCACTCCTCTTCTGCACTGAGTTCTTCAAAGCCAGAGATTTTGCTGTAGGAGGTCCCCAACTTACAGCTAACAGAGATGCGCAGTTAACATACATGTGAGAAGCAAGCTCGGTATGAGATGATTGGCATTCAAACAACCTTGACTGGACACATTGCCGTCTGAAACACCGCTGCCTTAAGAAAACAAAGCTGTGATCCACATGTGGTCCAGTCGTCACTGATCTGAACACTTCTTGGGTTCTTAAGAGCCTGCATAGTGACTCGTTAATTGACCAGTGGATGCTTAACCACGCTCGCCTAGAAGACTCATGTAGCTATTTCCTCTGCTCTTGTCCTTCTAGAGCGTCCTTTCACTGGGCCATCTTAAGTCAGAGAGCCACCCACTCCATTCCTCAGACCACACTCCAGAATCTCCATAGGAAATACATTTGCCGAAGAACCTCATCACCTTGCAAACGTTACCCTTTGCTTCTGGCCAATGTGAGGGGCCACTTCTTCTGGCAACTGATGAGGGAGCAGGAGGCTGACTGAAGACAAAGCAAAAGCTGGCACCTCGCACCCCCTCTCCACCTGCTCCCCTCGGTAATGTGACATTCCTCAGGCACCCCTGACTGCCATAAACGAGAAACAAATAGTTAACTTGCAGAGATCGAAATCCTGCAAGACAGAGTCTCCCTTGGTTTACAAATGTCCTAGAGATCTACAAAGAAGTTACCTTATCAATAGCACAATTTCCAGAGGCAAATAACTCAGTTCCTCAAGCCCTAAATAAAGTTAAATTTCTTCTAAACCCAAATCTCACTAACAAAGACGCTTGATAGCAGAAATGTGATCGGCTTGCCAAAAGACAACATTGATCAAGCCGCAAGGCCTCTGGTATCCCTGCACCTTGTAGGCCCTCTTTAGCATATGAAAGCTCCGTTGAAACCTCCCTTCCCTTCACCTTCCCCCAACCGCAAGGTACATAACCTGCCATCTCTCCTAACCTGGGGCAGCAGCTCTTCCTGCCCACAGGTCCTGTCCCCATGCTTTAATAAACCACCATTTTGCACCAAAGATGTCTCAAGAATTCTTTCTTGGTCATCGGCTCCGGACCTCAGCCCACCGAACCTCACCTAGGTTCTAGAACTTCATCAGCAATGCTCCAAGATTCACTGTCTCACAAAGAGGCAAAAATTTTTTTCTTAAGATTGTATTTATTTATTTGAAAGAGAGAGCACGAGATGGGGTAAGAGAGGGGCAGAGGGAGAGGGAGAAGCAGGCTCCCCTTGAGCAGGGAGCCTGACATGGGGCTCGATCCCGGGTACTGGAGATCATGACCTGAGTCAAAGGCAGATGCCTCACGGACTGAGCCACCCAAGCACTCCTCCAGAAGAGGCAATTTCTGAAAGGAATAACCCTAACCCTATGCCCTAGAAGAGGATACTTGATCTGAAGTAGTTAAACCCAGAAGAGGCATGATTGTGATGATGTAATCAAATCAGTTCAGTTGTTGAGTACAAAATGCCATGATGGATCCTGGAGGACTAAGAAGATAAAGGTGGCTTTATTCATTATTCCCCAAAGGTTCACAATAATGGAGAAACAGAAAGCCATACTGATGGATCTAATGAGAAGTGAGTTCTACACCCGTGGCTTTCAATGTTGCTGGAGTACAAGCCACAGTGAGAAACGCAGGTCATGTCCCGACACAATACGCATCTATGTATACAGGTAATTAACTGAAACAAACGTATTACAATCCCCTTAACTACAGCAACGCACACTGATAGTTTCCATATATTCTATTCTAGGAATCATAAATTTAAATAAGAACCTGGTCAAAACCTACTATCCGGTGGCAACCTATAGTCTGAACAACACTGTGCTAACCTTGAAGTGCTAAGGGCAGGGGAGGAAAAGGACAGGAGAGATTAATTCTGCCTTTCCGAAGCGCACTCACCAACTGGTTTAGTCTTACCCACTGGGTTGGTCTGTAGGTCTGGAGGCCTGGTAGTGGTGAGGGTGAGGGAGGGGTACTAGTCACTAAGCAAGCTGGAATCGAACTTCACAGGACCTGAAAGCCAGGCCGAGGACTATGACCTTTATGGCAGAGATCACTGTTTGGTCAACATGTATTCTGTGGACGGCACTGGAATCACCAGGAGGAGGTATTTAAAATAGACTCTTAGGTCTCAGTCCAGAGTTACTGAGTCAAAATCTCTGGGGTTGGGACTTAAGAGTCTAAAGTTTCAGGTAGTGTCTCTGGGTGATTCTTTTCTCCTCTGAAGTTTGAGAACCCTGGACGTACATAGATGACAACCATAAAGT